CTCAATTAGAATGCGGCTGAGAATACCACAGGCTAGATATATCGAGACTTACGGGAGGTATTAGTTTTCATGAGATATCTTATCGTACAAAGCGACACTTTGAAAATGTTATCAGCATATTTTCTCCGGTAGTGAGCTACTATTGAGATCGGAGATATCTTGTGTCTGGACCTGTTCCTCGAACTGTTGCTCCAGACAAACGCATCATTACCCGCGACCGATACAAGTAGTAACCCGAAATAACACGACAGTCTTGACTTCACGAAAACGCTAAGTAGGAATGTCAAAAGAGACGATAGTATGCCTCTTGATGGGCTCTAATGCCCGACGACATCGTCATGCTCGCTCTTTGCGATGGCATTGACTTGATCGACATATTCCTGTGCAATACCTGGCCAAGAGATGTATGACAAGGCGGCGAGTAGAGTCTGACATACCAAGCTCCTTCATGGTATTTGTGAGATTCTCGACGACAGCGTCAAACTGGGCATCAGTGATGTTGTAGCCTGCATGAGCGGCCCTCATACTACAGAAAGCAACCCGTGAAGATGAATAACAACGAAAACGACGGCTTACCTGCGGCCAGTGTAGTTGTTCGAACCACCGAAGACGTATGTTAGGAAACTCCTCTGATGGTCTTTCAGTTTGTTCATATCGGTCTTGGCCCAAACCTCCTTAATACGATCATCCGAGAGATTCTTCTTATAGAACCTGCGAACGTGAAATGAGGAGTGAAGAGGACGAGAAAGAGACCTTACAACTCAACCGCGGCGTTAACAGCATCTTCGCCTCCAATATTTTCGTAGAGGGTGGACATTATGGGAATGAATTTAGGAAGTTAGCAAAGCTGGAAGGTATAAAGTCGTCAATAGAGGATACACTCATTCCATCTACGGCCTTCACGACATAATGACAGACCAACAACTACTCCATTGAGCTGAGGGGGGATATCTAAAGCTGAAAAGCTTTCCCCGTCATCGTAACAGGGACATATTTTGTGACAGCGTCTGTATACTTGCTGGGTTTACATAGATTATCAAATGTGCTCTGAACATTACATTCGAGCCTTCCCAGATACAACACTTGCAGCTCTTGCTGGAGGCTTCAAGCTGTATGACCTCCTCCCCATAATCGCTTATATTAGGGCTCATTATAAGTAACCGGTGAAAACTCAGGAAGTCTTTAGAGTATTTCATTTCAGAGGTATCCTGCGAGAGGAATTTTGCCCCGGCACAACTCGAACCCTCCCTAAACTAATGCAGTTGGACTAAAGGTTGTAGTGTTTATCAGTTACTGACTGGCTCAGCTCTACCTCTCACCAAAGATGCAACTCACATCGCTTATTCCAAGGCCATTTCCACAGCTTCGACTAGTTACAGAACTGCGAGTCATTAAGCATGACCGGCCCCAAAGCTTTGACAGATGCGAACATAGAACCGATAGGGCTTGGAAATCGACCTACACAAATATACATCTCCTGCAATGGTGCAGAGGATGGTTGGATTGATTCACTACTGAAGCAAGGTGTGCAAGCCTGAGGCTGAATACACAACATGGCTGGATTCACTGCCGGGACAATGGCTGTTGTCTGCTTCATCGTATGCCAATATCGCTGATGTTGCCTACTAACTCACTCATTCCCGGCTTACACACGATGGATACTCCAGTAACTGGAGTCCAGTTCGCCTCGCATACGCATACCTCCCTGGGCTAGGTAGCGCTTAAGGATATCAACAATCTCAGCTGAGAAGGATGGATTGCCTGCGATGAGTTTCGTGTTGGAGATGTGTCAAATTGTCAGTGTGTGAGCAAAGATCTTTTTCGTAGAGCCCTCACATCCTAAGCGTCCTTTTCGAGGCAATTGCATTAAACTTCTCGGTGTTGTGATCCTTATTGCTTAGGGTGAACTCCATGATCAGACAATCGTCCATGCAAACTTCTTATGAAGCCTTTAGCCGAAAAAAGTTCTGAACAGTAAGGGAAGCCCGTAGACGTAACCGAGTTAGCCATGAGAACTTCCCATTGAGAAGTCAACTGCGGAATACAGTTCGCTGTTCATCTCACTGGCATGACTCAAGGTTCGACCTATTTACTTGGATTCTCTTCCGATTGGTCATTGATGATCAATATCGTTAAGACCCCGCCGCCTCGTGACTGAACTCATAGACGATTAGGAATCAACGTAGATGTTATTTGGCTCAAACACTGGACGAAACACGACAGAACAATCTGTTAAGAACCTGTGTCCTGCAAGAGCTTCATCCGCTATATGTCATCGATCAACTTAGCGCATATAGCAAACATCCACTGGGACAGTAAAAAGCGACTCATCTATACTCGACCAACTAGACTCTCTTCAAGAATAGGCGTATACTCGAAGGATTGGTTTGTAATGGAAATATATTAGGAGCGGTCCGGTAATCCCCGATTCAATCGGGATACCACAGAGAGGGTACCACATAGACCTGGGAACCGGGCCGTTCAAAAAAAGTGTACACTAAAACAACACCAATAGAGTACACCGTACTCCAATCAGTAGTCTAAAGATTGGGTGAAAATGTTGATGACCTAAAGGCCCAGGTAGACGAGAACAGAAATTCCCCCGCCGAGAAAGGTCCATCGAGGACTCGGCCGAGGAAAATCCTCGTCGACTTTTACCTACTCATCTGAGAGCTTCATGAGTAGTAAAATGCAGCATGAAATAAAGAAGAATTATCCTTGGCGGGCAAGTCATACAGGATGGTCTGCAAACTGAACCCGTACAAAGTCTTTTCCTCAATGATACGAGTCTTCTCCACAACTTGTTTCTGTGACTGGTAGATATAGCCATCGAAGTGACCGTCCGAGTAGGGAGGCGCACCCTTCTCGATCAGTTCGTTGTAAGAGAGGGGTTGATTAGTCCTCTCCATGAAGCCGAGAGTTTCAACCTGAAGTGAGTTACAACGAATGAATGCAAGATTGTCGACTAGTAATCTTCCAAACGTGACCCGCTATAGCGGGCAGGGGACTTCTGATGGCTTACTGAGAGTTCCAGTTTTTGAGGTGGTATCCCGAGGTTGATGAGGTAATCAACAGTTTTGCGTGCGACCGTGTCATTAATAACGCTCTCGTCGGTAGGTCCCGGATGTCCAAAGTGAACCGATATGACATCGAAGTAGTCTTCAATCTTGGATAACTTGATATAGTTCCACAGGGGTGAGTCTTCAGGCTCCACAGCGAAGCTGAAAACGAACATGCATGTCGCGGTTGCCAGCTCAGATCAGTAGACTCATACTTGAAGCTTGAGAACGGAGTTATGAGGATGCCGTACCTACCCAATCGAAGCTCTGACTGGCTCCCCAGACTTGGTCACCAAGTTGTGGCGGATAATGTTGCTCACATTCTGCGCGATTTGCCAGAATAAGTGCTGGCACGCTCCTACCCAAATGAAATATCTCACCTCCTCTACATTATATTGAGTGATATAGGGCTGAATCTGGTTTTCAAAGGTAAAGAAATCAAATGTGGTCAGTGAGCACTCATTAAATGGGTATTCATCCGTCCACAATATGAGGGATGTGCTGGTATTATACTTCTTGGCACAATCGACAATTTCGTGGACCATCGTAATGTTTTGCACCTCCGATATCACAGAACCATCGCGGTCCACCGAGGCGCCTTCAAGCATGAAGTTATTAACACCAACAGATAACGTATCGCACAATTCATCGATTGGGATGACCCACTCTTGACTACTGACAGACACATTCCTTCTAGCATGAGAAGGAAGTGAGCAGAGGAGGAGAAGAACGAGGAGGAAGCTACTGACCATCTGGGAAGACGAGTTGAAACCTCCAACTGATAAGGAAAAGATCCTGGCCTACGACCGTGACCTTGTGTAACACTGGGGAATGAGCTCGTGCTGCGAGTCGATCAGCCGCAGCAGAGCTCCTCGGACCATACGAGCCTCATAGTTGGGGTCGATTCAAGACGACGAGTTCTTCACTTACAAGAGAGATCCACATTCATTGATGGCGTAGCAAGCTATCCTTTCCTAGAATATCTACGGCACGAGTGTTATATTACGACACATCTGTGCATGGATGAGTTGGACATACAGCCGGAGGGGAGTGTAGCCTCACGTAATGGAGTCAAATAAACGAGCACTGCACGCACAAACATGTTAACGTTAACATGAACCGCTTTTCACGCACGCGTTTGTAAAGGGAGGATAGTTCTCCCCTACGATTCTGTAAAATTCTAGGGCCGTATTTCTCTAGTTGTTGATGTTACGTGTACACCAGAGTATAGCCAGTTTCCAACGCGAGGCAACAGTTCGCAAAAACATATTACTGTGGTCAACTCAACTAGTCTTCTCGTTGCATGTCTCTGGGAAGCATCGAATGGTCATTGGTCGTCCCGTTGACCGTTTGTTTCGAACGTGAGAGCATTGTTGTTCTTCGGAGATCTCCGTTGAGGGTTCAGAATGTGTGAGGTGGCGCAGCTGATGCTCTAATAATTTACTTACTCCTTATACAGGAAGTGATTCATTGGGAAGGTTTCTGTGCTGAGGCTGCTCTCGCGTGCGTGCGACTGCCTGGGTCGTCGTCGGCCGAATACTATCGATCGGGCTATGTAAGTGGGTGCGCCTTTGCTCATTGCTTGTGCTTTGGAAGCCTCATGAATTGCCCATTATTCTTTCGGTCGAAATTATTGATTCATATGACATTGTTATCAGATATTATCACCCTCATTTCCTAATGAATGACTTCAAACCCTCAAACGATCCTGAGTTGTAACAACTCAGGATCGTTTGCGGGTTCCCAGTGACAACTGAGCTGTACTTGACGGTACTTGAGTCCCAAGACGATACAGCATGTTGAGCGATATTCCAACAGTGATGTTCTTATCGGAGATCAGGAGAATCAACCATGGAGAGATGGTAAGTTATCCTCACTCAGTAGGAACAGCATTGCGGTACTCACTTGTCTGGAGTCTGCCACTCCCTTCTCGCAATGCATTACAGTAGCTGGGCATGAGGCTCATGGACGACACGACGAAGTTTATATACGCATGCGCACCGAGGTCTTAGGCCAGCGTGCACGTCGCATAGTCAAAGACAACGTGTCGTGGGTTTTCATGGAAGGAAAGGATCAGTAACGCTGATTTAGCGTTACTAAAGTTTAGTAAAAGTTAGTCAAGGAAATAGAGAGTTGGTGAGTTTAGTAACCAAACGCATCAGCTCTCTATATCTCTGACTCTCCTGCCACTCCTAGGGAACGTCAGAGCTCATGCCGGTACCGGGACTCAATAAGAGCATTGCCCAATGATCACGCACTTGTTAAGCCCAAGAGTCCCGGGGTGTGTATAGCGTTCCCGCCCGACCTGCAGTAGACCGTCTACTGTAGACGGCCTTGGCATTCTTCTTGAACAATTAATAACCGCCACCAAACTAAGACATGGTGCTTTGAGGTCAACTCGGGTTCACCACCAGCTCCTACTGGAGCCTCAAGTCGATCAGCATCGGTTGGCAAGCAGGCCCCGGTGTGAATCTGGAGGTTTATTTGTGAGTAACTTCCCCATTATTGAATAGTATGGATGGGGAACTCGAAAGACAGCTTTGGGCTTGGAGAGTCTCGAGCCGAGACTCAACCTCGCATATGGTGTATTGCATGAATGGGCGAGAGGAGCAAGGATGGGCTACGATATAGCCCTCCTGGAGGGCCCCTCAGTCCAAAGTGAAAAATGCGAATCACGCTAGCAGCGGAGTATTTGCTCTTATGTGAGGCATTGGGAAGGGGTCGATCGACCTCCTCGACCCTCCTCAATTAGAATGCGGCTGAGAATACCACAGGCTGGATATTATCGAGACTTACGGGAGGTATTAGTTTTCATGAGATATCTTATCGTACAAAGCGACACTTTGAAAATGTTATCAGCCTATTTTCTCCGGTAGTGAGCTACTATTGAGATCGGAGATATCTTGTGTCTGGACCTGTTCCTCGAACTGTTGCTCCAGACAAACGCATCATTACCCGCGACCCATACTAGTAGTAACCCGAAATAACACGACAGTCTTGGCTTCACGAAAACGCTAAGTAGGAATGTCAAAAGAGACGATAGTATGCCTCTTGATGGGCTCTAATGCCCGACGACATCGTCATGCTCGCTCTTTGCGATGGCATTGACTTGATCGACATATTCCTGTGCAATACCTGGCCAAGAGATGTATGACAAGGCGGCGAGTAGAGTCTGACATACCGAGCTCCTTCATGGTATTTGTGAGATTCTCGACGACAGCGTCAAACTGGGCATCAGTGATGTTGTAGCCTGCATGAGCGGCCCTCATACTACAGAAAGCAACCCGTGAAGATGAATAACAACGAAAACGACGGCTTACCTGCGGCCAGTGTAGTTGTTCGAACCACCGAAGACGTATGTTAGGAAACTCCTCTGATGGTCTTTCAGTTTGTTCATATCGGTCTTGGCCCAAACCTCCTTAATACGATCATCCGAGAGATTCTTCTTATAGAACCTGCGAACGTGAAATGAGGAGTGAAGAGGACGAGAAAGAGACCTTACAACTCAACCGCGGCGTTAACAGCATCTTCGCCTCCAATATTTTCGTAGAGGTGGACATTATGGGAATGAATTTAGGAAGTTAGCAAAGCTGGAAGGTATAAAGTCGTCAATAGAGGATACACTCATTCCATCTACGGCCTTCACGACATAATGACAGACCAACAACTACTCCATTGAGCTGAGGGGGGATATCTAAAGCTGAAAAGCTTTCCCCGTCATCGTAACAGGGACATATTTTGTGACAGCGTCTGTATACTTGCTGGGTTTACATAGATTATCAAATGTGCTCTGAACATTACATTCGAGCCTTCCCAGATACAACACTTGCAGCTCTTGCTGGAGGCTTCAAGCTGTATGACCTCCTCCCCCATAATCGCTTATATTAGGGCTCATTATAAGTAACCGGTGAAAACTCAGGAAGTCTTTAGAGTATTTCATTTCAGAGGTATCCTGCGAGAGGAATTTTGCCCCGGCACAACTCGAACCCTCCCTAAACTAATGCAGTTGGACTAAAGGTTGTAGTGTTTATCAGTTACTGACTGGCTCAGCTCTACCTCTCACCAAAGATGCAACTCACATCGCTTATTCCAAGGCCATTTCCACAGCTTCGACTAGTTACAGAACTGCGAGTCATTAAGCATGACCGGCCCCAAAGCTTTGACAGATGCGAACATAGAACCGATAGGGCTTGGAAATCGACCTACACAAATATACATCTCCTGCAATGGTGCAGAGGATGGTTGGATTGATTCACTACTGAAGCAAGGTGTGCAAGCCTGAGGCTGAATACACAACATGGCTGGATTCACTGCCGGGACAATGGCTGTTGTCTGCTTCATCGTATGCCAATATCGCTGATGTTGCCTACTAACTCACTCATTCCCGGCTTACACACGATGGATACTCCAGTAACTGGAGTCCAGTTCGCCTCGCATACGCATACCTCCCTGGGCTAGGTAGCGCTTAAGGATATTAACAATCTCAGCTGAGAAGGATGGATTGCCTACGATGAGTTTCGTGTTGAAGAGATATCTAACTGTCAGTGTGTGAGCAAAGATTTGCTTCGTGGAAGCCTCACATCCTAAGCGTCCCTCTCGAAGCAATTGTATTCAATTTCTCGGTGTCGTGATCCCTATTGCTTGGTGTGAACTCCATGATCAGATAATCGTCCATGCAAACTTCTTATGAAGCCTTTAACCGAAAAACTTCTAAGAAGTGAGGGAAGCCCGCAGACGGTGAAGATGTAAGACACCGCAAAACAAGGTTCCCGAACTCAGAATCGGAGACCACAGACTCAGATTCTAGACTGCGAGCACTGGACTAACAGATAGCGTGAGCTGAAGGAGGAAGCGATTAACAAATGCGAACGCTACTCGCACGAGTAACAAAGGTCGAGTGCTGCACAACACCAACATCATGAAGATATCTTGATCATAGTTAGAACTCGAGTGAAGAGAAACTACTCACCAAGATGCGCTTGCCATACGAACTTTCGTATCAACTGTTCCCAAACCCTCATCAGTTAACCACGGACCCAATGAGTCCACCATGAATACCACATACAATCTTTGCCAAGTGAAACAGTTCTCCGAGATGCACAACTATATCACAAATCAGCACTGGCAAACATCTCTAATTACTCGCAACCCACACCAACCCGAACTAACGCGACAGCTACCATCCATAGCAACACTCAAAGGAAGGAAAGGTCTGGAATGAAGATGAGAGACGATAGTATGCCTCTTGATGGGCTCTAATGCCCGACGACATCGTCATGCTCGCTCTTTGCGATGGCATTGACTTGATCGACATATTCCTGTGCAATACCTGGCCAAGAGATGTATGACAAGGCGGCGAGTGGAGTCTGACATACCGAGCTCCTTCATGGTATTTGTGAGATTCTCGACGACAGCGTCAAACTGGGCATCAGTGATGTTGTAGCCTGCATGGGCGGCTCTCATGCTACAGAAGGCAACTCGTGAGGGTGAATAACAACAAGGAAGACAACTAACCTGCGACCAGTGTAGTTGTTCGAACCACCGAAGACGTATGTCAGGAAACTTCTCTGATGGTCTTTCAGTTTGTTCATATCGGTCTTGGCCCAAACCTCCTTAATACGATCATCCGAGAGGTTCTTTTTGTAGAATCTACGGAGATGAAATGATAAGCGGTGAGATCGAGGAAGAGAACTTACAACTCAACCGCGGCGTTAACAGCATCTTCGCCTCCAATATTTTCGTAGAGGGTGGACATTATGGGAATAAATTGAGAAAGTTAGCAAAGCTAGCAGGAAGAAGTCTTCAATAGGTGATTCAACCATCCCAACTGCTACAGATGAAATAGCAGACCAAAAGCGAATGGAACTGATCCTTATATTAAGCTAGCACGACGCTATATGACAAGCTAAGTCGAGGTATCCGATAAGCTGAGAATCTATGTCCGTCACAAGATCTGTCCCGTGTCGTAGGGTAGAAGGTAATTATGGACAGTACTACCCAAGAGGGACTCCTCTAACGATTTATAGTCTGCTGGCATAGCGGCCCCTCTATTCCTCCAATAGATCTATTATGAATGGTATAGTCCTTTGGCATAGCGGCCCTCCTATTCCCTAAATAGATCTATTATATATGGTATAGTCCTTTGGCATAGCGGCCCTCCTATTCCCTGAATAGATCTACTATATATGGTATAGTCCGTTGGCATAGCGGCCCCCTCATTTCTCTATGAGAGGTTCTGGTGGGTGCCTATCGGAATACAACCTCGTCTTGAGTGTCCCCTGATTGGGAGAACTCCGCCGTCATGATTGTCTCAGCCTGAGACTCTCAGGGGTAGTGCCAGTGAGCCCCCCCGCTCAAATGGCCACATACTCCACCAGCACGAGACGGGTGCCTTTCAATGAGTTGCAGTCAAGAGCCGTATCATACGGTCCGTATGTGAGTAAGCCTTTGCATTGTGGGTTTCTAACTTCCTAACCATACCTTCCCTTGTAAAGCCTATAATGCCATGATCGCTAGTTTCGGCTTAATGTTGTACATACTGGCCATCACGCGTTTTGCATTAATCGACCTAATACATACGAACCAAATAGGATCGTAAGAGTTTGGATGAACCCAGCAATATATGATTGGCAGTGTAAGTATCCGTAGCCCACACAAATGACAACTATTAATCCACTCGAGAATTCTCAATCAAGGAAGCGCAATACTGCTCAAGTTCCTTTCACACACACTTTTCGTATCATTACTTGTTTTTCCTCTATAAAATGCTTCGTTATATACTGTACAGCAGTACCGCAGATGAAGTATAAGGTTTCCAGCACGCTAGTACAAAATATTAACTACCCTACTACATAATACTGTACATGATCGAAATTCGGTGAAATTCGACGGTTATTCATTTCTTGCACTCTATGGTACTCTTGTACTCTTCTTGCACTCCAAGTGGAGGCACTCGGGAAAAATGCGTTTTTTGAGGGAAGAAGCGAGCCCCCGGCCTGCCATTACTGTGGGCTCTATGACAGGGTTAGAGCCTCTATGGCGAATCTTCCAAGGCACACAACCATATCGATAGATGTCTGGAGAAATACCCCATGTGAGGTTTGAACTTGCGCAGGGTGTCTGCGTGCAAACATGTAGCCGATTTTACGTTTAACGACGAGTGCGTGATGTGGATGTCAGAACCGCTTGTACGCCGTTGGAGCGAGCTCGATGATGGCTTTCACATGATGTTGTTCAAGAACTGCCATTTACCGCGAAATTACGAGGCGTGGGATCTTTCTTTTGCACCACCCTGTATAATCTGCCATGTCCAACGTGTAAAGCTCTGTTTGTTTATAATTCCATTTCCGTGTAGTTGGCTCAACAGTTCCCGGTACGACTGCAGCATGGAGCTACCTTAGGAAATGGTTTGTGGACAGGAAGGTACTGACTTGGGGATACTCGTGCCAGCTGATGATTCATCTAAGGCGAGATATCTTCCCGTGCGCCTCTTTCTCCTGTCGTGAGGTATGGCATAACCACCCCACTGCGTCTGAATCTATACTACGGCATACCTTGGCATAACTGCCCCAGCAGAGGAATCGAACTCAATTAGAACTCAAGTCGTCGTTTAAAAGTGTAGCGGACGGGTAGCAACTGTACTACAGTGAATGTTTAGCCTAGGGGAGGTGTGGATGATACCGCACCTCGGTGAACTACAATATATTGGAATGGTGGCTCAGTGTAGAGTTTGCTCTAATTTAAATTGTTGTTAACGTGCCCCTTTCATCTATCCCGGTAGGTGGTTGTGTTAAGTCGTAGGTGGGATTCATAATATCAGGAGCACTTTCGGTCCATTTACCAGTATGACAAGAGAAGGGCCACTCGAAACAGTTGCTTATCACGGCCCGATCTTGGCCGTAGAGAACTTACGAGATCCCCTTCGAATGACCATTGCGGTGGGCATGGGTCCTTATATGCATTTCACCAATGGGGAGCAATCAGATATTATCTTAACCGAAAAACTCTTCCATCACGAGCATATTCACGGCTTGAGGCTTTGCCCTGATGACACTCTGTTAGTCTGGGCAACAACTCTATTGGTATCGGGCAAGGTCACTCGAGATGTTTCAGGCTCCGTAATTGGTTTTATCAAAACCGCACAAGTTGACTGTGAAGACTGGGTCCTCTGCGCGTTAGCGTTGGGTGACCACATCTGTGCATCGACAATGCACAATGAAATGCTTGTCATCGACACTACTACTGCTACCATCATTGAGAGACTACAGGCACCCTCCCGAGCAATACTTTACAGTAGCTGGATCGAGTGTCTTGGCTCTTCCAAGGCCGACATTGTGGTGGTTGGTGGTAGTGTTCGATGGACCTGTCCTGTCTGGCGACCGTTCCACACTGCTGAGTTCCGAGAGATGGAGGTCCATCAGGGGTCAGTCTTCAGCGTGAGGGTATATGATGATGAGCAGTCGGGGCCGTTGGTATTGAGTTCCTCCGATGATCGCAATGCTACTTTATGGCGGCTGAACGACGGCTCTGTTATTGGTACCTATTCGGGTCACGGTGGACGGGTATGGTCAGCACTACTCTGTAGTGATCGGATAGTAACAGCATGCGAGGATGCGATTGTTCGACTTTTCGATAGAAAAAGCGGTAAATGTCTAAGACAGTTCCACGGGCATCGTCACGGTGGTCACGGTGTCCGCGCCCTTACTATCTCTACTTCACATACCACTCTCTCGGCAATTTCGGCTGGCGAAGATGCCTCAGTGAAGGTATGGGATATATCCCTCTCCAGTACAAGTGATACCGAGTCCTACGATAAGAAGTGTATCACACTACCTCCCACTCACCGTAAGGATTGGATACGATGGCTCGGCTTTCTCAACAACAGCAACAACAGCGCCACGCAAATCTGCGTCGTTTCCAACTTTGGTATGGTCTACACGGCCGACAGCAGCGCCAGAGAGTCGGGCCTTAGACTCCGCTATGTAGTGGAGGACGCCCCTGTAGTTGCCGCAGGGGTCTCCAAAACTCGACTATGGTTTGGTCTAGTTTCTGGAGGTGTTTCTATCATCCGCAAAGACACTTTCGACGATCTCCAAACCATCGTTGGAGCCGTCGAGCAGCAAGTCGCTGAAATATTCCCCAACACCACGACAGATGAGGTCGTCATAGTGAATCGAAGTGGAGATGTCACACTTGCATCTGAAGAAGGAGTGGTAGGACGATTCCGAATATCCGGCAGGAAAACCTGTTGTTGCCTTGTATCGGGGGGCTTCATCTTATTGGGCACTGCTAATGGCACCGTATGGGTGGTCCATAAGGACGGCACTGCTCCCAGCAGCGAGTGCCGATTATTCAACAGTAAAGTGAGGTTGATAGCGATAGAAGTAAAAGGGCGAGTAAACGAGGCTGAGAAGGAGGTCATATGCAGTGGGAATGATGGAACTGTCATAACCTCTTTATGGAAGGAAACCAATGACGGACTAATCACGGTGAGTGGGAGTCATCATAGTTAACCAATTATTATCAGAGTTTTACGCGTAATACTTAGTGTAAAACTAGGCGATATTCGCGGTGATATGCAGTAGTCGTGAAATATGTTTCCACTAGTGTTTTTCATATCACTAGGGTGGCCGTGAAACTCCATTAATTCTCATAACATTATCATTCCACAATATCATAATAATATTTCCGTTGTCGCTATCACCTCAGCTCCAACCTATCTACACTGTACGAGTATCAGCCATTCAGCATCTACTGGGCGTAAGGAGGCCTTCCCCTACAGCCCCTCGATTGGCTTGGGGGTTCAGCGCTACGGACTTCCTAGTGTGGGATGTGGACTCTCTGGTCGAGCGATGGAAGGTAGTCTCAGCTCTTACTGTATTCACTTGTTATCACGTCAGGAATATATGTTCGCTCTGCCCACTTAGCCAATGGAAATTTACATACGAATTTTTGTGCAAAAACCAATAATCCCCGAAATTTCCTCGGAATTTTCATATTGTCATCATCAACACATGTAGTTGACCGTTTTTGTATCAGGTGAACTGTGGTGGGCAGCGTCGGCCTTATGCTTTGACCTTTCAAGAAGGAAAGGCCATCTTCGTCTACGCTGATACGGCAAAATTGGAGTTCACAGTCGCTCAAGGTGAATCTCAATTTAGTCGAACACTTTCACTTCCAGTGTAGTAAAAATTGCACATGGTCAACCACATGTGTTGGTGATGACGATATGAAAATTCTGAGAAAATTCTTGGAAACTTCCATTGGTTTCTGTGGACTGCCAAACCAACTTGTTCAGAAACTCATAAGCTCAGCTGAGGAAAGCGAATATATATTCCTACTCCAACACTGTTTACTTTCACTCAGCGTCGGGGGCATCCTGGATGACAGAAAGCAGTGAATTCAATGGCGACCACGGGCGGACCATACATGGAGTGTGCGCAGTGGGAGCCGATCAGATGTAGTATCAACAGCCAAGCGGTGGTACTCTACAGTGTGGTAGGTCCTTCGTCACGTGCTCGGAAGATAACAGTGTGAAGTTATATACTCCGACGAGCTCCTCTGCTGGAGAGGACTGGCGATGTGTCCAAACTTTGGATGTTCACATCGGGCCTGTGAAGTGCATTGGTGGGGATACTCTCTTTCATACTTTCTGCAGTGTGGGAAAATATGCACATGGTTCGTGACAATTGTGAGAAAATTTTGGCAAATTATCATTGGTTTCTGTACACTTTCGCCTCAATCTGTATGTAAAATTCTCTAACTATTGAGGAAATTCCTGAGCTCAGTTGAGGAAAGCGAACATACATTCCCCCCAGCACTGACTGTCAATGTTTCTGATTATATGTAGTCGTATATGGGCAGAGCTTCGGACTCTGGGAAAGTCGAATTAGGTCGTTTAAACGAGCCGAAGGGCACAACATTTCAGTGATGGTAACGGCAAATACCAACATCAGGAGACGCCTTACGTTGGAATGATATGAATTTCTCATCGTAGTACCTCGCATTAGAGATCGTTCCATCATCATCATCACGTGTTGAGACTCCGATAGTACATGGAATTAGGATATCGATTAAACTTACTTCATATGTATTAATATCGATGCTCATTTCAGCCTCCTGTGGTGACTTTGTGATCTCTGGAGGGGCCAGAAGTCAATGGTTACTTTATAGAGTTGTGACCAGTAGCAGGGACGGCAAGCTGTCGTTGTGGGTAGAAGATGGTGGTGAGATGTTCTCAGAGTGTGGTATGGATAATGTACGACTCATGGCGGTTGCTATAGGATCTCATTCGCCCGATGTAAAAAGTGGTGATTTTCACACTCCTTGAATGTAATTATTATCAGAACGTTTTCGCCCTATTTGGTGACAGCTCTGGATCTGTTTGGAAGGCTCAAGGTCATCCTGGAAAACTACACTTCCGTTCTACGTAATAGCGGCGACCAGTGTGGTAAAAATTGCACATGGTTAAGTACATGTGTTGGTGACGATATGAAAATTCTGAGGAAATCTTCGGGGATTTTCATTGGTTTCTGTGGATTTCCAACCCAACTCGCTCGTAGACTCCTATGATCAGTGAGGAAACTCATAAGCTCAGCTGAGGAATATATATTGCAACAAACTCCATGGAGTATTCCAATGAAGGTACACTCGCCACAGTGCATGCCTGGCGGTGATAGCCCCCGATGCACACCAGGTGTCACCACCTATTGCTGGCTATGCTGATGGTCACATCGTTCGGCTCAACGACAAGGACTGTCTGTCTGTTCATACTGCAGGGGTCAATGCATTAGCATGGATAGATAGCGGTGGTGTCAGCTTTGGTTTAAATGTCTATCATCACGTTGTTGTTGTCCCCTCAGGAAAGCTCGCGAGTAGTGGCGATGACCAGGACGTAGTTATCACTGACGTCCAACGTATGATAATATTGAAACGTATAAGCCTGGCACATCTCGCTGGAATCCACGCCATGGCAACAGCTCCGTCGACTAAGGTGAAACACGGCACTGTTGTTGTTGTTGTTGTTGAACTGAGCATTTGCTCGTTTTCAGACTATTTACTCGGTGGGATGGGACCGTAGAGTAAAAGCATGGAGCGTTGATGACGAAGAATTATCGTTAAGTGGCTGTACTCGTTGTATAGCAACCGAGCCGAATGCTGTTGCTGTCCTCCATCATGGGCACTTTATAGTGGTCGTTGGACGTGGTTGGCAAGTACTTTCTACATCCTAAGTTGTGCCGCAATTCAGTGTTGTGTTGATCTGCATCGCATAGTAACATGTAGGACGAGCGAAAAAGAACGAGATACATTTAAATAGGAGATGAATAGAATACTTCACCCGTGTATTATCATATTAACTCACCATAAGCATTGGATATTGGTATTCGAGCTTATTGATTGATGACTACTACTGTAGTGAGAGCAACAGAAGGCCTTATCATTCGCTGAGTTGTTGGTGCTGTTGTAGTGTACGTCATCACATGTGCATTCGATGTTGGTCGAATACGTGAAGCACGACCATAGTATGTAGCACTGCTCATCATCAATGCTATGCTTAATCGGAACACAAACGTTCGTGGTATGTCAATGACCAAACGATTTATGACTGCGTTTCGTGTCGATTAGCAATGAGACAGTTAGTCCGGACTGCCTCCGTGACGTGTGGAGCTGCGATGAGCAACAGTTAGTCATATTAACGTGATAGGAAAGTAAACTGTCGATAGCTAATAAGGGCTTCGGGGAATCTATGTAAATACTGAAGTATATATGTATAGTTCCTGCTCGACTGTAATTATCGTGTGTTTTTTTTGATACCGAGTAAGGCGAGTAGGGTAAGTTGGATGGTTCAATTCTGTCTCAACCGTGGTGGTTATCTCTATGAAGTAAGCAATCGATTGTATTATCTTCATAGTCTCACACTTCTCACCATCATTCATAAGAACTTCATCTCTCGGCGACCAAATTACTCAGTCTTTAAGAAAGACCACATGGGAACTAGTTAGAGTGAGGATGTCCTTCCTATTGTGTGTGCTTGGATTGGCAACTTCTAGTGTGTATGTGGAAATCAGAATGGTTGTGTTGCCTATTGTTAACTTTATTAAGCTGCATAGTACGGAAACACCAACGACTCAATGAGAAACCTTAACGTAGCAACTCTATCCCTACAACAGGGCCATGGAGTCTCCTCTTACGCAAAGCCATATGTTCACGCAAGGGTGGTACGAATATACAAGCGAACGCCTATCGCATAACCTTACGAGTAGTCCCAAAACAGACACAACCAACGGTGACCACCACAAAAGATATAACAAATTTGGAGCCGCGTCCACACTACTGAATAACACGGACACAATACTTGGCAGAAACCCTATAGAAAGGAATGCTAATGAACAGTGTCCTTCGAAATCGTGTCTGGCGACAGTAAACAAAACTGCACAACATGTCGCGCTTCGCTCCGCCTGTTTACTCGGCCTGCTTGTCGAAATATGACTTAGCGTTAGCAAGGTCACATACCGGTATATCTATTTGTACGCGGGCCTCCGAATCACCTGAGGTGTAGTATATGGATGATGATGAGGGGACGACCCTCCTTCTTCCTCACCTGTACGGAGATCCTTAATACGGACCTTACCCGACTCCCATTCACTTGGTGCTACGAATGCTATCTTATCAGCACCAACACGATCCGCATACCTAGAGAAAACACCAGTTTTACGGGAAGTCGCGTAATACTCCATGTGAAAAACGCGGCATCATCACACTGGACGTTCCTCCTTACCTGAACTGCTTGTCAACACGTTTACCCGCCTCAAGCATAACATCAACAGTGGCACCACCCGACCTGAGAAAAACAAAACTTGTCAAGGTGAAGAAATATACTTCTGATAATACTTGAAATATATGTACCCTAGTGATATGAAAAACACATTCACAAACCACTGCATATCACCGCGAATGTTGGGCTTTTCACAGAGGATTACGCCACTTCACGTAAAACCGATGAAACTCCAATACACACTCAATTTCTGTGTAATAATACTTACTCCACTACATGATGACAACGTCTACAGTGTACGAAAACCAACGATAACATTTGCAATTTCCATATTGTCACCAACACACGTAGTTCCCATGCTGCACTTTACCTCAGACCTGCGGCCACCTCTAACGCCTGTCCATACATCCCCTTATAAGCAGCTACGACGAAATCAACCCGGTGTGGTATCTCAGG